GCAAGGCGGTGGAACGGGGAGTTAGCCCGGGCTCGGCAGAGCAAAGAGTGCCATATAGAAACTTATGCCCTCAGGCCACGGACGGAGTGGCAACCTGGTGCTAGGCGGGTCTCAGGACATCCAAATGTCAATGCCGAGCGAGACAGAATAAGTGACCCGGAAATAGATAGCCCAAGGAAAGAGGGAAACCGGAAGGACAGCAAAGCAGGAAACTAGGGACAGGACAGAGTAGGAGCGCCCTCTGGCTGCAGAGGGAATGACAATTAGCTAAAGCATAGCCCAAAGGTTTCTGTTTGTTTGTAACCTTCCAGGTTTTGTAACTAACTGAATCAAATGTCCTCTTGCATTTGATGCCTTCTTGTACTTGAGGAATACCAGACATGGTTAAAGACAGCATTCTCTGCACCGTTCAAAGACTTCCTAGATGACTTGAATTTGAACCATTGCAGGGACATGCAGGGCGGGGTGGCTTCAGTGGCTCAAGCCCCTTTGGCCTCATTGGCCCAAGTGCACTTTTTTGCTTGTAGAAAAAAAGTCCAACCAATTTAATTAAATTAAATTTTTCGCCACTTGACAATTCTGCTTCTGTATTTAGTACAGACGGGGAAAAAAAAATGTTGGACCTAATTGATCTCACCCGAGCACAAGTGCCCGCCTCCAGTTCATTGTAAAAATCTGAGAAAAAAGCATCGATAAGCAATGTAGGCTGTCGAGGTTGTGTTAAACATTTTTGAACGGTGAGAAGATACACAGATTTTTCAGAAGGACTGTACAAAAGTAACACACCAAGGGTGTCATATAGAGCACTTTGTGTTTAAGAAAGACTATTTCATTCACCTCTTCTAAGTTTGCAAACCAACGAAATTGCCACGTTATTGTCTGCATGGCTACTTAACTACCTAGATTTGGGATTTCCTTAAGAAAATTTAGTTAACTGAGTAGACAAGCCAGTCTTTTTGTATTTGATATGAACAGCTAACATGCAATTTCTTTTTTGTATATACTGTACATGGTTCAGTCACAGAAACAGGAGAGCATGCCTTATGAAAAAAGAAGAATATAAAAAGAAAGAAAAGATTTAGGGAGGCAGCTAAAGGGAGTACATCGCTTCATAACTGAGTCAAAGCTAATGGCAAATGAACAGGTAAATGGTCATCAAAAAAGCCAGTTCCTTAGGCTACAATCTACATATGCCCCAATAACAGAAGAGTCTTGCCTCACAAGAATGATTACATTGGTAAATGTTGTAATGCTTAAATTTTGATGAATATCAAAATTGCCTGTAGCCTATTTACAAAAAAGATACAGGCTATATGAGTAGTAATTCCATTATTACTTTTGAATATCTCTGCCCAGTTTTTTTTTAGGACACGATCAATAAATAATTCTATTGGAATTCATAGCTTAATATATAATGATAAAAATTGTTTTGATGTATAAATTAATGTGTAAAGTTTTAGTAGTGTATATTGAGCAATTTCAAGAGATATCCAGTGCATAATAATAATGAGATATAATGCTTTATAAGACAAGTACATTATCTGTATCATTTTATTTAAGCTGGCAGATGATAATTTGTCGTGGCTTCCTGAATATTTGTCCCACAATTGACACTTTTGGGGAAGAAAAAAGTATTTGATTTGATGTGCTATCATGTGAACTCTTGCTCTTAAGATGGAAAGAGATTGCATTTGGTACTGCATGTAATTAGATGGTTATTATTGTATTTGCTCTGTCCTCTTGTTAAGATGTGTTATATCAGGAAAATAAAATACACTATATGTTCAGTAGAGGGGGTGTAATATCTTGTCTGTTAATCAAACAGAATCAGTGATTATAGACAACCATTTTTTTGCCTAGGTTGTGAATATTATAATGCCTCTGAAGTCACATCCAAATGTCCTGTAAAATTAAAAAACACAAAAATACAAGCGGACACTGATTTGTGTCCAGAAAACTCTAATGTAACAAGTCCTGCCCTGGAAAGTGTCCCTTCTCCCCTTTTGAACCACTGCCCACCAAAAAGGTCACTGCACATCTCTGGTCCATTGGGCTGTATTTAATCAGGAATCCTGCTTGTTTTCTTGGCTGGGTGAAACCCATAGTGTTTGAAAAGTGATGACATTAAAGAAATTCTATAACCTTTGATACAACAAGAAACTGGAAAATAACCAATATTTAAAATATTACCTGTTGGTATATTTTACTTTCTTGTTTATATTATGTTATGACGTTTTTCATTTATTAGATTTCAGAGAAAAATATACAAAAATCTAATATTTAGTTTACATAATTTTGTTTAGCTCTCTTGCTTCCTCTCATCTTTTCCAAAGAAGCCTTCTGACAGTTGTATTGGATCTGTCCAATAAATGGAAGCAACATTTCCAGCTTTTAAAATGTCTTACTAAGCTCAGTAAATGAATATGATTCATTAATAATACTTTGACCTGTAATCATTAGTAGCTATTCATTTGATAATTTATCTAATGATTAATGATTAATGATTAATGATTAATGATTAATGTGTTTCATTAATAGTAATCACTCTAATTTAGTATTCTGCCTATACCTACAGGTATACCGTAGCTTTAGTGTTGATCAGTAACACTTTTTACAGTAACAGATTTTTTTTTCAATTATTTTCAGGACAAATGTGAAAGTACTGATACCTAGTCTTGAACGTTTTGTTTCAGGTATCCAACTCACAGTAACATTCTGTTTCTGTTGCCTCACAGCCCCTGAGCTCTCTGATATCAGCTTTAATCCCCTGTCACAAAAAGATTTAAGCTTATTTCCATGCTGTAACTAATCAATAGGCACAGGGTCTCCTTTATCTGCTAAGTCTCCTGCTACTAAGACACTAGTTATCTTTCTGCTCCTCCCCTTTCACACTGCTTCTTAAAAGGCCTTTCTCCAATTTAGATGTAGTGCATCAAGATTTCCTTTAATTTATTTATCTCAATTCAGCCCAATGGGGATAGTGGGATTTATTCTTCCATATTGATCAAAGTTTCAAAGCTGTAAAAGAACATGGAGATGCATCTTTGCTTGACGTATGTATATAAAATACTTTATTTCAGCTAGCTTGATCTAAAATGTGTTTTAAATAATTCTTTTAAATTTGTTTTTTTATCAAGTAATATTCTTCACTTGTGACATAAGGTTGCTACTAAAAGGGTAATTATAATCAAACACGGTAGCTAAGCATACTCTTTTTATAGTCTCAAGTTGATAGAGCACTTACAGCCTAACAGCAGAATAACTGGGAAATTCCACCACCATGCTGAGAAAGATTAATGAAGATAGCCTGTGAATCTTGCAGGTTATATGTAATTGGTTGAAAATGTTTAATGGGCTCTTGGTGGAGGCATAGTAAATTAGTAATAAAAATGACCAGGTTCATTATATCGTGTGCAGTTTAGAATTTTTAATCTGTTTCCAACTGGTTTGGATTTTGTTGACTTTGAAGAAAAACAAAACATAAGGCAAATTCAGATTTCCACTGCATATTAGTTGTGTCTCTTGTCTAATATTCATATGTCTGTTTTAAAGCCTATGAAAATGTAAAAGAACTATTTTATTTCAATAAAGAAATGGCCCTATGTGGAATTCTTCTAGGCTTAAGTCATTCCTTCAGGATGAAAGTGGTTACTAGGAAATCAAAAGATCCCATGGCCTTCAGCTGGCTTCATTAACTGAAATTTCAATGAGACTCAAAGTAGCTGAAAATGGTGAAAAATTGAACGTAGAAACTGCATTGTAAATTTGTTTTATAAAATAAGGAGATTTCTATGATAATAGTTCATATTTCAACACAAAAGATACCAAAGTTCTTCAAATATAGAAGAGGATCTATTTCATCCACCAGTGATGTGTAGAACCCACCTGGGTGACACATGGCAGCCATTTTGCACCACCATCCCCACTACACAGCAGATCATAGGGAAAACAAATTAAGGGGGAACATTAGTTAGACTAGATTGTGTAAGCATAAAGTAGAATTTACTCAGGACACTGGAATAAGCACCTCTTCTCTTACAAACTATTGTGGGATCTTTAATGACAATGTAGTGTAATTAGGACCAGTGTTTTAGTATCTAATCAAAAGAGGGTACCACATACAGTAGTAAAAAATTGTAATTTAGAAATTTTGGTTAAGAGGGCATCAGCCTTGCTTTATGTCCAGGTTTTGAATAAATCAGGGTACAAGGTGGTAATGCATTATACTGTACAGTATTTCCTTGCCTTGACTGCTATTAAAGCAAATCTGTGTACTAAGTAAAGCGGTTTCTCAATTCAATACTTTTTAAAAACATGATGTGCAGCAGGCATGTTATGTTATTTCCTATTAGTAACCTAGTATGAATTTCCAATGTTATTTTAGGGTCACCAACAGAGGCATTTTACATTGTTTAATTTATTGCTGTTGAACATTGATCAACAGATATGAGATCAGATTCCCATCCAAGAACTTAATATTAAAAATAATAAAATAGGAAAAAAATGAATAAAATAAAAAATATAAGAAACTTTAGCAAGTTTCCTCATAATTAAAAGGTTGAGCTTTTTGTCATTTATGGTACATGTACTGTGCCCAAATGCCCTTAGAGTAATCCCGATTGGAAGCTTCATTCAAACCTTTCAGCACACTATTACAGCCTAATGAATACAGTGAAATGAAGTGCGTACCATGTGCTTTTTCATCAATCTGACCACCGCAGTCATTCTCTGCACTAAGCAGTTTATACTCTGCTTTAAAATTGTACTGATATTGAAACGGAACTCCCCTTACTGAATTTATATTAAACTTTATAAGAAAATGTATGACATCAAAAACACATTGGCTGTGTTTTTTACTTTACATGTGAGCTAGATGTAAATGTTGTAACCTGAATAAGATCATCCCTTGCCCAGATCAATGTTCAATATTCAATGATCAGTGAAAGCAAACCTTACTGTAGTTCTATTACAGTTTGCACACATCCTTAGTTATTTTCACATTTTTCACATCATCTGGAAATGCTTTATTATTATCATGCTTAAGTTAAGACTCATGTCATCAATGGACAGTTGTGAAGGAATGTTTCATTAATAATAGGCTAAATCATTGCTTGAACAAGCTGGAATTATTGAAAACCTTGATTTTTTGCACACAAAGTACCTTAACATTCTAGATAAGAACCCATACAATAATCACCATGTTTGTTATACAGTACAAGTCACAACATATTTTGGTTCCAAAAGGTCCTTGGGAGATTATTCACTGCTTTTATTTTTACAAACTGCCAGTATCTACAAAAAACTTCACATTTTAATTTAAAATAAATTGAAACTTATTTTATTGATAAAAGACAACAATAACTTATATCATACTTGGTAGCTGAACAAACAAACCAACCACTGCAAAATTAAAACAATACTACAAGTCCATTTTTAGAATCTTAACAATCCCTTTCTATATAATATACACATAGTGATGTTGAGCACATGTATGGCCATTGTCATGACTGTTTTTTTTTTCATCCACTCAACAAAGATAATGCCAAACATGGATATTAGCTGGTCACAATATCATGATTTTGTTTAAACAACAATGCACTTACAGACAACAACATTTGAAGATCCGTCAATATACAATACCTTCAGCTGAATCTCATTGATGCTGCAGAGATATTTAAAATATGAACAGGTTTTCTTACTTCCAAATCTAGAGTGGATTATACAGTATATGTGTACTTATTGATAGGCATTAAAAATGCAACAAATGGTATTAGTTCTATTATTCATTTTTTGCATTTTCAACGTCTATTAGTATATATTACAATTTGCATAACTGGTGCCATAATTCAAATGATTTCACTGTGATATGAATGAATAAAACACTGACGTTTTAAAAAGAGCTTCAATATGAAACAGATTTAATCTCTGAGCACTTGTTTACTTCATATTATAAGAACGGCTTCACACATTAGCCTTACAAAACTGAAAATTGGGAATTTTAAAGAAGTATGAAAGAACTGTACTCCATTGGATTCCTCTGCAGTATTGACACTGGAATATTGATCAGGATTTTACAAAATAGACGATCTGATGTAGTGGTCGGCAATCCTTTCACAGTATTTGGAATTGTTTATTGCAAAGCCGATGCCTTTTCATCTCATCTTCCTCAGCCTCAGTCTATTTTCCTTATCTCGTTTTTTCAGAGCATTTACAAACTGATTGAAGAAATGTTCCTGGTCTTTCTTTTTCTGTACTTGCTTGAAACGGTGGTCTCTGCCGTACTTCTCAGAAAAGTCCTTGAAAGTAGACCTACAAGGAAAATCAATTCAAGATACATGAAATCAAACGTCATATGATACATTTTGTTTTTAAATTGTTTATGTGGCTGATATTGATCAGTGTATTTAATTTTTTTTATTTGAAATCTGTTCAGTTTTGTTCCTGATTCTACTTTTTATCATCCACCAATTCTGTTCACTTCACTGTTCTCAATCCTAGACATTCTTGAGTATAGAGAATGAATATTTTGCTTCCATTCTGGAAATCTGTTCTGTTACATGAGGTGCTGCATTTATTTTGTATTTTGGCTGAGAACATTCAAGACTTTATAGATATTTCATAGCAAATATCTAATCAATCATGTAGGCCACAGCTGTCCAATACTGATCCTTGAGGGCCAACGTGTCTGTAGATTTTCCACTCAGCCCTTAATGACCTAAGTCATTTCTCACTGGCTTAATTGGACTATTGTCACCACTTCTCACTGCTCTTTAGGAATTGCTGCTGTTAAGATACCTAGAAACTTGCAACCACACTGGCCCTCCAGACTCTAGGATTGGACACAAAATAAGTATAAAATCAATTAAAATATAATTTAATCATTATTTATATAATATAATGTATTCTTTTTTAAAGTATTCAATGAAACATTTGGCAAAACTGGTGTTTAACACAATAATACAGCACACAAAAAAACTGGTTGAGTGACTTTGTTCTATTGTAATCCTATTTGTAGTACTATAAATGCAGAGCCTATCCCTGACTGGTTTAAAAAGTAATTGATATTGTGGGAAATAAGTTTAAGGTGCTATTTCTACATTTAAGTCTTAGCTGCTTGTGTCTCACTTGATAAGAAACAAAGGAAAAAACACACTGCATCACTAGCTCCACAGCACGCAATTCTGCTTTGGTTTAATAAACAATCCCACTGACACCCTATACTATTAATATGCTCAATGAATACATGTATCACAAGGTAGCAGCTACACAGATGACTCAGGATCAATGGATGTTGCAGATATTTCTGTTAATGGAAAATAAATCTATGCTTGCATATTCCTACTGTCTCTCAAGCTGACAGTAAACAATTCACAGTATCCTACAAAATCTCTCACCATTGCATGTTTTAACAATACCAGCCAAATTAATTATTGGCTTTTCCTTCTGCTTCTGATACTCTGATACTCATGTTTCTTTTTTTGTGTTAGCAATTTAAAAAATACTGTAGATTAAAAACCTATTGGATATGAAATTATGTTCAAATATTTAAAGTATCTATGTGCATCTACAGATAGATAAGGAACATGTTTAATTAATTTAGATGACGAAATAAAAAGTTCCCTTTTCTGGATTTTTCTTTTTCTTTTTTTTTACATGACAGATAACACATTTCAAATAATTTAATTTCTCCTGGAAGTAAGCAAAGTAAATAAATAAATCTATCATTTTAAAAAGTGTTTTATTTAAATAATCTAACGAAGGTATGATACATCTTGAATATCAACATATTTTTCATTGTACATTGCTCATTTACCTGGATGTTATTTTTGATTCCTCAAGAAGTTTCCGAAATTCCTCTTTGGCCTGCTGTAATTTACTTTTTTTCTCCTTATATTCCTCTTTTATTCTTGTTTTAACAAATTGTTCAAACACCTAAGACACATATGTACAAAACAGACACATATTTAGCTCTCTACCTGTGCCCATTAAGCATATTTCCATATATGAACATAAAGACAATATATATATATACATATTTAAAGTGTAAGAGCCTATATATGTAAAAGCAGATAGACAGCTGGATAGATATGATTCTATTTCAGCAGCCACAGACAGCAGTTTCTCCCTTAATTGTTCATATGATTGATATGCTGTATGTGATATTTACAGTTGACTTTGACTTCACTCAAAACAAAAATTAGAGATCTGTTCAGATCTATCTGCTTCCTTTGTTATTAAATGACCAGAGCTAATTAACATAAATTCCTAGAAATCATGCTGACTGTTCTTAACAAGACAGCATAAACCTGAAAGGTGTTTCTTGTAAGATAAAATTCAATAGACAAAAAGTATGGTAAAACAGAAAATGTTCATCCCCAGTGTGACAGCTGAGTAAACTATTTAACAAATATTATTGAAGGAAGCTGTGTGGGAATATAAGATATTAGACCCTTGGTTACATTCGCATGACATTAATAAATCAGAGAAAAAAGTCATGGGGATTACAAATCACTGAAATCAAAAACAGCATAACAAGGGAAAGGTTCATTTTTAATAATGTTTTTCTCTCATTTTGTACCTGTTTCCGTTCCTCTGAACCCAGCAGGAGATAGCGAGGATCAAATACTATTTTATGTAATTCCTTTTCCCAAGTGGAAAAAGCAGATACCTAGAATAGAAAATGGAAAATTATGTTTTTTTTTCCTGAACTGATACTTTTATCAATCAAAAATAAGTCAAGTAAATGTATAAAAAAGATTTAACTTTACCTCATCTATTATATTATATACCTATATATCTGGAAATGAACTTATTATAATGTAAACATGACTGGTGGCTTACAATGGAGTTGTCTCATTTCTTTTTTCCATATGTGAGACATTAAAATCTTATTTGATTGACCACCATTTTTGTTGCATTATGGTTTGCACAGTGCATGTTGGAACTCTGAAATGTTGGATTGAATCTGGTGCATTGACCAATGTCATTTCAACGCTTGAATACTAGTTAAACCAAATGATACAGTAACTGTCAAAGAGGGCGTTTTTTGACAATAATGAATTAATGAATGACACCCTTGTTCAGTCTGTGTAATGTTTTCATTACATGGTGAATTACAGCATTTTTATAAATATTTTTGAATATTTCATTAACTATGTATTTATATTGTAAATATAACAGATTAGTTTTGCACAGTTGATTTATAAAGTATGAGTGAAGAAGAGTTCAGTTGCAATGAAGGGTGAGCTACCACAAGCATCTTTCATAGTTAAGAAATCCATAGATTTTAATCTGTTTTCATTATAATTAATTTGCTTGATGCACATCAGCTCACATATGATTGGCATCTTTGCATTACCTCAAACTAATAATCCAACCAAGGTTTTTGTTTTTCTAAATACTGTTTACAGGGCATTGAAGTATTTGAGAAAAAAAGACCATCACAAACCTATAATAAGCTAACACACAGAAATATACAGTATCACTCACATTGGACATTGCTCCAGGAGAGATCGTAAAAGACCCAATTAAATATACAGGCATGACAAAACCCAGATTAATGTACTGTAGGAGAAAAGGACTAAGCTGCTAGGAGGCTTCTTATTCACACATGAGCATGAACTGAAATCCTACAAAAAATGAATTCTGCAATCCTAGGGATGAATTGTCTGAATGATAAAAGCATTTAGATTTACAAGGCAATTGAATAAAAGACAGCCAAGAATGACAAAGAAATGTGAAATGGTGCAATGCCATAGTTAGACCTTATGTGCAGTTTTCAGTTATGGGCACAACATCATAAGAAATTGTCTTTGAGAAAACTGATTATAAAATACTTTTTATAGTCTTAGTAAAAGATGGTTAAGGGTTGACATACAGTACACATTTCTAAAAATTACACATTGATTATTACTTACTATTTAAATATTTACTATTTTAGACAAACAAATCTTTCCAAAAACAAATCTACTGCACAATGCAGTGACTTCTTTGTTCTTATGTTTAAACTATTACAACTTTACAAGATAGTCAGCTTCAACACCTTCAAAACATGTGGTGGGTTGAATAATGACTAGAATATACAGTCTTTATCTCCAATAAAAAATAAAAAAGACATACTTTAAACAATGAATATAGCCTTACCCCCCTTTCTAGAAGCATATCTCTGAAGTGAGTGATGCGTACTTCTAAAGGAAGAATTGTTCGGTGAGGTGATATTTTGGCAGACTTCTCTTCTAAATCATTTTCCTGATCAGATTGCGGAGGTTCTTCAATTCTTATAAAAACGGAAAAACATCATTAGGAACTTTCATTGTGGCACTGAGAGAATTCTACAAAATCGACACTTTGTTTGCATATAAATATATCTGTGTTTGCATATAAATATTTTAGTGTAAATACAAAAGGTAGTGAAAATAGCAGTCAAGATATTACATCATTTATGGCTATATCTAAATGAGATTTGCAATATGAAGAATTTGAAGACTTGTTTAAAATAAAAACAACCAATATAACAAACTACAAAAATATATGAGTAGCTACAGTACAGAACCTAGAGAAAGCAGCTGGATTTGTCATTTATTTGACAAGCTCCTATTTTTAGACAGGTATCAGAGGTTATGGCATCAAGCTGAGATGGCAGATGGTAAATAATTACTGAAGTGCCAAGAAAATACTTCATCTAAGAATCCTGGAATGCTACAATGGCTAAGGTTAATTATATATTCTTTGAAAATATAAAGGTGGTAAAATATGCTATGATGGATTAAACTCATTTAAGAAAGTCTCCAGGGTAAACTATATGTGTTTCATATTATATCTGTAAATGACACACTCCATAACATTTCTTTACTCAGCAAGGGTACAGCTTCACTCCTTTGGAACAGCAGGCTTTGCTCTAGATTGAAAACTTATATGTATGTATTATAATATGTATGGTACAGTATAGGGCAAATAAGAAATAAAATTTTCTAAGTGACAAAGCACTAAGGAAAATATTACTGATAATATTACTGATAAGATTTTGATTGGACCAGTTGCAAAAGGTGATGATTTTGTAAAACTTTTGGATTTTAGATGAACTGCTTGTAAAGTGTACGTGAACTATTTATGCTTAACAATAATCCTATTTCTGTAAAAAACATTAATGAACAATAAAAACTGAAAATGTAATATTTTATTTGTTAATTGTGAGATGGTATACAGTACATGATGTTTCTATCAACATGGAAGAAAGAAATATGCAGATACTGTACTATCTTGACTATCTTGGATACTCCAGTTGTGATAAAAATCAATTTTTGAGTTTAACAAATAAAGGAATATTTCATTAGTTACTCAATTTAGTTGTTATTTATACAAGGTGCTGTATAAAAGAGATCTATAAATCCTGAATTTGGTATTCCTGTTTTAAAGCATCCTAAATGTTAGGACTTGCATTTCAACCTTTTAGCCTGATTTTGTCAGAATTCAGAAACTAAGCAATGATGGGAATGGCCAGTGTTTGGATTGGATATTTTTAAAGAATCCAGGCTGCAGCTCTAAGTGGTGCTGGTGGAGGTCTATTTTGGCAAGATCCCATTGCACTGTTTGTAAGAAGATGGTTTTAACCCGGGTATTCTGTCTTCCACTCCGTCTTTGCACAAACTGGTCTCCCTTTAATTCAACTGGTGAAGCACTTTCTTACTTCTCCACCTGATGTTCAGAGGCTCCTGTGCATTACATTATATATAAGTTATGCTACCCCAGCAAATGAAGTAACTACATACTTGTTCCTTTTTGTTTTTGCACTGTGATCCTCACTCTCATCATCTGGTTGAGAATTAGAGCATTCATCCTCTGAAACAATTGAACAGGGAAACATAAACAGATATAAGACATATTATGAAATATAATATGGCAAAAATGACAAAGTATAAAGTGAAATGTTCTTCACCTTTTTATAAATACTGCATATACAGTACATATAATGTATTATATACAGTATATACAGTATGTCCATCATACAAAAAAAACTAAAAACAATTCTTTCTGAGCTTTGCCATAATATGTTCCTTTGGCTCAGTGCTGTTTCCAGAACACAGAAAACATTCTGAACATTTTTTGCTCATAACCATGTGAATTATTTCAGTAAATAGTTATTTTATTTAGTGGTGGTCCTTATGTCTAGAATATTGAAATCTCATTCAAATCCTCGTGCACATTTTTCTGCATTCAGGACTGTAGCTTTCATATGCAGGCTCCCAGAAGATCAAGGTGTGGTCAATTAAATAGAGCTGTCCATTTCTAAACTATTCCTCTGAGGTGTTTAGCTTACTCAGTTTACGTGGCAGCTATCTGTTTGCATAAACAACAGATAGAAGTTCTTACTCATTCCTTATTGCAGGTTCTCATACCATTTTATGTTTAAGACCAGTAAGTGAAAAGATCACCTCATGTGAAATAAATGTAAAGGTGCTATTGAAAGGGTTGGAGTGGATGAAATAGAATGTGTCAGCCTTTCCACTGTGAAAGGTAAAGGTAAAGGTTTCTAAAACCAAAATCACACTACAATAAAATTGAGTTACAGTATAGCCAATTGTGAAATAAATGGCTTATACATAATTGCCATGTGTTTTATTTTTCCCCAACAATTAACGGTTTTAAAACTGAGTGTTGGGGTTAAACTTATTTTTTATTGTTCCCTTGATAATTCTCTCTAGAATATTATTTCCATCCATTTCATTACCACAATGGACATTTGAGTTATTCAAAAACAAAAGAATAAGCTAATGAGCTGTAATTAACATGTATGCTTTACAATTTAAATTTTGTGTCTGTAATTCTTATATTTAATTTCACAACCTTATCATTATTTCCATCAAACATTCAAATGCACCATTGAATCTGTAGCCTGTCTCAATAGTAATAGTCTCAATTTTTATTTTGGCACCTATTTAAAACAACCATAAAATGAAGGATATTTAGGGGAAAAAAAGAATTAGAAAAGCTGAAATACATACCCCTATTGGGGATGTACAGTATTAGAAAGATAATGCAGTAGTCTACTTTATCTTCAACATTATTCTTAATCTCAAATAACCCCTAGTGTATAGAAAATAGACTAAAGCCTTAAGTATTTGGCTCCTATGAGATAATGTTACTGTTGTTTTGTTCTTATCAACACTTATTTTCCACTCTTTGTCCTTGTTCATTCTTGATGAAGCCTGTCACAAGTTATTGAATCATGCATTGCTAGATGAATCCTTCAACAGAAAATGTTTTGGAAAACTCTCTGTTTGAATAGTTCAAATACTTTAGGTCATCTAAATATAATCAGCCAGTAATTGGAATACAACAAAATCAATAAAAAACAAATTTAACAATGATTCTCCAGGGAAAACCAGTAGAGCAGATAAATAAATCCCCAGAAAGATTAAGAGTACTTCAATATTTATACAGCCTATCAAGCCAAATAAGTTATTAAGTCCTAATCTTTATGAACTCTAGTTAAAAAGTTGAAACAATTTGAAATAAAACAGCCCTGTTTAAAAATAATCAAAATGTTTTATATACTAATGAATTAAAAAGTGGATATTACCCACTTCAAGTTAATGATCTGGAATGATTTAATTTTATACTGTGAAAGAGTTAAATATATTGTATACAGTATACAATTGTGAAGTACTGTATGTAGTATCTGGAAGTTTTGTCCTTTACAGAACGTGGTCTGAAAGATCCTTCTCTGAGTTCATTTTGAACATTTGCCAACACATCATTTGTTCCAAATTGCCAAACACTGTTTTCCTGTTTTTTGTATCTGAATAAAATGTTAACTGGTGCTTAGTTTTCATATCATACTATTACTGATAAACAGAATTACTTAAATAAGAAACTTTCAATGTATACATCTAAATTAGTACTATATTTAACACTGACATACATTTGGAAAGGTATTGCTCATAAAGTATTAGGTTTTCAACAAAAAGAAATAAAAAATCAGGGCATCTGATTCTAAGTTGAAATCTTTAATTGTCAGATAATTCTTCTGCATTCCACAATACCAATGTCCTTCCTGATAAATAAAGTCTAACTGACTCAGGATCTGTCTTACTTGATAGTGATTCCTTTTTACGTTTGTGTGGGGGATCTTCAATAATTTTGTTGAGATCTCCACGACCTTTTAAGTCCATAGGCTTCTCCCATACAGACAGTTGCATTGTGGGATTAAAGAAGAAGACTCGGTCATCTCCAGTCCAGACAACACACCTATATACAGTATAAAAAACACAAAACTGTGATGATGGAAGCACATTAGATCTTCCAATAGTGAGTTGCTAATCGAAATACAATGTACCAGTGTAATTAAGCACATGCAGAACTAAAACACGTACTATTCAGGGGATCAATCTTAATACTTGCTACTAGAAAATATAGTTTGTTCTTCATTCTTGTCAATTCAGATTGACTAGAGTGAAGAAAAGTTTTGGAAAACATCACACAGATGTACAATAGACTTGCCCATGGGTGAGTATACAGCTGACAGCAGTCACAATCGTCTGCAATGCTGTAAGTTTGTAAGTATGCATAGCTAATGTGAGATGTTAGATTCTGAGAATGGCCACAGTCAGTTGTCATAGATGCAATGAGTCGATCTATGTAGAACACATTAATAAAAAATATTTTTCTTTGGGGTGAAAAATAAAAGGACTAAGTAAATGAAAAAGAAACATCTAAAAGTGTTTATTGTGAAGACAAAATTTACCAAAAGGATAACCTAATATAGAAGTGATTAGAAGGGTATAACTATGACTGGTTTTACCTACAGCGAAGAAGAGTGTTAAACATAATTACCAATTTTCAAGTAAAAATGTTTTGACAGCCATGGTTCAGCTTTGTAGATCTTATGAAGTGTCATAAATATTTCCATTTCCAACCAATAGTATATTACTAGAAAAACAATGCAGTTATTATATATATATACTGTATATTGTATATATTTCCATCCTACAGGATGATTCATCCATTGGGGCCCTCTTTTCTGACCGCCCCATCATCTCATATCGCCGACCACCTAATCTGCATAACCTTCTTGTTCACAGCTCCCTTGACCGCCCTCAGCAACCCTCCACACCAGGCACTTTCCCTTGCAACAGAGCTCGCTGTATCACCTGCAAGTACACATCTAACACCACACTCATTCAAGGCCCTTCAGGACAATTCCGGATCACTGAGATGGCATCTTGTACCTTCAGCATCCTTATTTACTGTATCTCTTGCAGTAAATGCCCAGCCATCTACGTTGAAGAAATGGGAAGGAGACTCGGAGACCGCTTCAGAGAACATGTTAGGGCTGTGAAGATTAAAGATCTCCCCAAGCTCATTGTTTCCCATTTCACCTCTGACGGCCACAACCACTCTAATCTCCATCTGTGTTCTCAAAGACGGTTTTCCAAACTCATACATCAGAAAGACTACAGAAACAAAAATTACCCTGCAACTAGGATCACACCTTCCCCTTCTCTTAACAACAGACTACTTTTCTTCTAAATTCTCTCAATTCATTGAAGGTTTCATTTCACACCTTTCTACACCTATTATGACTCCACACCTCTTGATTGGCTTCTCTTTCTGTCCCCTGCTCCCGCCTCTCGCTCCTCCTCTCTCCCAGCTTTTGTTCTCCCACTACATTACCTTTGCTTACTGCCTTGTCATTCTCACACCTGAAGAAGGCTTCACAGCTGAAACGATGTGTTTTCTTTCTCCCTTTTATTCAGCATGGAATAAACCTATTACTTGTTCCTTTGCAGCCTACACATGCTGATGCAGCCACCCACCTGAACTTATATATACAGTATATATGTAATCTTACTATTTGTTTTCAGTATTACACAGCAAAATAAGAGTTAATAAGTGTGAGATTGTTACAAAAACATTTAGACAAGGAAGGAGACATGGCTATATAAAAAAATAATACTTCACTCTGGTGTTCCCCATGAAGAAATTGACAACTTGCCTCATGATGAGCAAAGACAAAACTTTAAATATTATTAGCATAGAAGTGTTACTGTACATGTATTTGTAAGACACATAAACAGATCTCCAGGTAATGTGAGGTATACTATCAGTTAAGGTTAAGGAAACAAGGGATATTACCCATCATAACATAGAAGCTGTGTCAAAGCTGTTTTTCACATAATTTGACAGGTGATTGTATGGCTTTTCTGTTACCAAACGTAATCTTCCCACAGTCATATCATTACGCAGTTATGGAAAGACTGTAACCTAAAGCCTCTCTCTTTCTAGTGCATGTGTACTTCAGTACCGGATACCCCACTTCCTGTAATACCCTGGATATTTCTAACCAGGAACCTTACTTTGTGTGAATCTCCTCCAATATTATATAATGTCATGTCTGTTTAACCTCCTAAGAACACTCTTAGCTAGTTACTGAGGTCAGGACTCTGAATATCTTCAATGATAAACCATAAAAGGTTTCTTTGTTACCCATCTTACTCCACCAAAACAATCCAAATACTCATTTGTATTTCTAAACTCTTTTCTCTTGGATTCCCGGACTCAAGTATCAATATCTTACCCCACCTCGGCATGATATAGCTCTTCGATTCAGCGCCTATTGTTATACAATCCTAACTATTGTATAATAGTAACTAACTATTGTATAATGCCTCTCAGTTACTACTGAGAACAGGGGAGAATCAGTTTTCTTTTGTTACCACTTTCAGAGGAGTAGTGTTGTAACCACATCACACTGCAAGAGGACTTATCCACTAAAGGACCCATTGGCCCTTTGTTCATGGACTTTGAGCTTCAGGATGCCAACAGTTGTCTCCAGTGTACAGTGGAATTGCGAGTGAGTAACATTTCTCTTCTGAAGGGAATTACCCCCAATTCTTTGTGGAATGGTAACATTTCATGTTCAAGCTTATCAAAGATGAGAGAAGTTGCCATAGAGAATAAAATATTCACGTGTCAGTTAAAATAAACCTTTTAACAGTTTTAAAACTCATAATATTTTATATAGAACAAAATTTCATTAGGCTACTTATGATTCATACTGTATGTACTGTATTCTAGGTACAAAGTTTTGATATAAAGCTTTTATTTCGTCACCCCTTTTTGTCTGATTAATATCTGTTTACCTGCGGTGTATGCTGTACACAAAATATATAATAGTACACATATTTAGTAGTTCAAAGCTTTGAGATATTGTCAGGTTTATGTTTTTTAGTTTACTTTGAATGAACATGAATGAATGAACACGTTATGTTCCTATTACTGTCATTTTATTACTGGAACAGACAATATGGAATGTACTTAGCAGTACAAAGCTTTGAATAAACTGTGCCGAGTTTTCCTTAGTTTACTACGCCTGTTTTGAGTTGAGCCTGCTCATTGTATCACTACTTTTGTGCAGGGATAGACGAGATGACATTCAATGTAATCAATTCATCAAAGCAGAGAATGAAAAAAAATACGGTATCTGCCACCTTTGCCACTGAAAAGAAGCATTTTGACTTGTGTGACCAGCAATGTGACAGCATGAGAGGGTGTCCCATTACGCTTTTTATAACAGTGCGCACTTGAAGTCCAGACTTGCACTACGTCACAGAAGTGCAGACATGGAGGAAGGGCTTAGGGTGTGGTGTGACAATTAGGACACTGCCTAGAAAAGCATACACAGTATACGGCAATTATATTTTAGGGGGAAGTCATCATGATTTCAGAATAAGTAAATCATGTTTAACAAAATTATCAACATTAATTTGATTTTTTTAACAAACAATAGAAATAATGACTATAAGGCATATGATTAGGGATATTAAGATAGATAGATACTTTATTGATCCCGTGAGGGAAATTGCAGTGCAATATCTTAAAGATACCTTAAAGCAGTGGTTCTCAAACTGTAGTACGCGTACCGGCAGTGGTACGTGGAGTGCCGCCAAGTGGTACGCCAAATGACCCTGGAACTGTGTCGTGTGCGCTGAAAAACCGGGACGGGTTTTCATATTTTGTATTTTAATACGTGTCGAATACGCAGCCTACGTACTACGATACAGTGCATGCTAATAGTTCAGTGGACACAAGAGATACTCTGTAATTTTATACCACTCTATAGGAAGGCGTGCTACGGATGCAAATGACCAATTGTATTTAAAAAAAGCTACTGTATCTCCAGCAAATAGGGTGAAAGGAGAATGTGCGTGATTTTGGAACAATGCCAACATTGTAAACACAGGAATGCATAGAAATACGTGCTACGAACGCAGGTAATCTTGTGAGCACACGAAAGCGTGATAACAGAAAAATATTTAAGAACTGTTCTAATTTGAGAAAAATACACTGAGCGTCTCTGTGTTTTTCTCCCATCCGCATGAAATAAAAACTTTAAATAAATAAGGAAATAAAAACGGAAACGCGGGAAAAATGCAAGCTTGCGGATTGCTAAAGCAGGTAAGCTACAGTACACTATTTCTGAAGAACCTTATTTACCGTTGGCAAAAGAGCTGACACGTATTATGTGTAGAGAAAAAGCTGCTAAACAGCTCGACCTGCTGCCCCCCTCCCCCTGAAAGACACAGTCATTCATAGAATTATTGAAATGAAGGATTATATCAAAAGTACACTGAGTCTGTAGTCGATTTGGCCAATTTGCTTGTTTACGTTAGATACGAGTTTGAGGGCATGTCCCATGAAGACTTTCTGTTCTGTAAACCGCTACCAACAGGAACTTCAGGAGAGCACATATTTCAGCTTCTGAATGAATTTATCGAAGAGAATGGCCTCGACTGGATAAAATGCGTCTGAGTTTGTACAGACGGTGCTAGAGCAATGACAAGCCGACATAACGGTGTAGTTGCACGAATTAGAGAGGTTGCTCCAGAAATTAATGTACGCATTACAACATCCACCGCGAGACCTTTGCCGTCAAGAAAATGCCTGACGATTTAAAATCTGTTAGACTCTGTTGTGAATTGTATCAAGGCTCGAAAAATTAATTCACATCTGCTTTGCTCAACCAAACAGGCTCACCCCTCTCACTAAAATGGTGCTTTTTTATTAGTTGTTGTTAATGTTTTTTTTTCTGTAAAACACTTTGAGAAGCCACCTTTAAAGGCGCTATATCAAATTAAGTTTATTATTATAATATTTATTATATGTATGTGTGAGTGTGTGTGCACGCGCGCTCATGTTGGTCATTGAGAATTTCTTGGGTTCCTATGAGATGATGACTTGTAGGTGGT